GATAATAATGAGATAAGGGCCCCACCCACACTCAACTACTAACATATCACATATACGAGCCGACCTTGGTGCCTTAGACCCGTTCCTACTGATGGAAACTCACCTCACACTGTTGGAGTCCCGCGAATAATTCTCTGGATGCTAGTTGACAGATCCATAGACTGTCAACATCAAAATAAAACCCAATTAACCATTTGGGTTTCCAATGCACAACTCTAAAAACCCCATTTATGGTAAAAGGACCATCTTACCCCTATCCTAGTTTGGTCCAAGATTGAGGCCCAAACTCATACTCTGAAAAGCCCAAAATACCATTAGTCAACCAAAGGCCAACTATGGCCCAATTTTCTAAATTGGGCCCAAATCCCTCACATGGTCTTACTTTAAAGGCCCAACCATTTATTTTGGTCCAAACACTTGGCAATACAATAGTCCAATACCTCATAATCTTCAGAGCCCAAATATGGCCCATCTATTGCCCAATTTTCCAAATTGGGCCCAAGCCTTTCCAATGGGCCTTATCCTAAGCCCAATTCAATATTCTAGTCCATACTTGTTCTTGGATGGCCCATCCAGAGTCCAGACATCTAGGCCCAACAGGAGGCCCAACTCAAAACCCAATACAATTAGGGTTTTCACATGAAATGATGATTAGGGTTAAGTGTTCTCACTTAACCCATTAAGGACTTAACCCATTAAGTCCATTATTCCACTAAGCCATCATACAAAGGAATCAACATATGTCATAACTTCAGTCCACTGGTCCACACGCGGGTCCCGATAGGTCCAAACCAACATTTTCTAAAATTAGGGTTTTCTAAACCTTAATTAGGGTTTCTAGCCCAATAACGAACTAGCCCAGTCCAAGGTTAAGTGTTTAGGTCCATTAGGGTTCCACTAGGCTGGGCACCACCTACTGCCACCTCGGGCAGTGGTGGTCGGTGGCGGTTCACGGCGGCAGGCGGCGGTAACCACCACCTTGAGGTGGTGGTTCATGCCCAAAAATGCATATACAACTTCCCACCCCTAAAATAAATGAAAACACACACACAACCACCCTTCACGGTGGCTGGTGGCGGCAGAAAAGGGTGGCAGTGGCGGCAGCCACCACCTTGAGGTGGTGGTGGTGGGTTTCCGGCCATAAAAATACACATATAAACCTCCCAAATACAAAAGCCTCATGAACACTCGAATATACACCTATGTAGCCACCGCATAGGCGACAGGCGTCGCCGGAAAAGTCGAAACAACAGCCCCACGGCCACCGACGACGGCAATGACGATTTCCGGCGTCACACCCACTGAAAAGAACGAGAGAGGGAGAAAAGATGAGTTACAAGCGAACTAACCATGCGTTTCTAGTGGCTCCCGACCCTCACACGACGAACACAGCCCTCCTTCGGTCTTCAACGCACCTCTCGGTTGTTCACAACGTTGTCAACAGCGGTGGCGTTCCGATGGCGAGGAGTGGCGGCAGCGGGCTTGACTGATCGAAACACGGACGAAAAAGAAAAGGGAGGCGGCGGCTGTGAAAGCTCACATGGCGGCTGAGGATATTTTCTAGGGTTAGGGTTGCGTTATGAGAATGGGAGGGAAAGATGGTATCGGTCTAATCCCGTGCCTTCATTCAAACATTTCGTCATTTTTCCAATATTAGCCCCTCCCCATAAGATCTTCTTCAATTGAAGTCCAAAAGTTACCATACAGCCCTCCATTTTGAGAATTATTTGCAAGACTGATCCGAAAATCACCTTTTAACCCTTGCCTTCATAATTTCCTTCATAATAAGTCCTAATAATTTCCAAAAATTATCACAATTAACTCCCGTGGCTAACATCCCTTAATTATTATGGATTTAGGGCTCGAATAAAATAATATAAAAATACATTTCTCATCCCGGGGTTCATATTATTTATTTAGTAAATTTGATCTTATTTATTTATTTAATAAATGGGGTGTTACATGTTGACTTATAGTGTTGGGCCCAGCTAGGACTAAATTGATGTGTTCAATTAGAAGTCCTATATCATCACAAATAAGAAAATCGGGAAACAAAGTCTTGGACAATGAGATTGATTATATTCCATGTCTCATGTCCGAATGATATCTTGCAAAATGGAGGATTGTATGATCACTTATCTTAGGACACGTAACTAACTGGGTCAGAATTCGACAACGACTTTTGGAAGTTACAATTTGCTGATCGATTCGGAAGTTATATTGGAAATTATAGTTATAGACTTATCCAAGTGGGAGACTATTGGATTAGGTGTCTAAGCCTATAACTAAAATTGGTATATACTTGAATTGATAGTAACACGGTCATTTTGGGTTGCCCTTAAACCTAACAATTGGACATAATGATTTTAGAGAGAGAGATTAATTTATTATGTGAGTAATAAATTAAATAAATGGTTTATTCATGTGTTATGAAAATAATATATATTAATTATAAATAATATTATTTAATTAATAATTAATCATAAATTAATTAGAATTAATTTTGGGATTAATTGGATTAATTAAAAGTACAGGGACTGTTTTGTTATTTATTAATAGTTGAGAAAAGAAGGCTTTGGAACCCTATGGAGGAGATGGAAGAAAATATCTAGGGAATCCCTAGAAGATTTCGTCTAGGGCCTCTTGGGCAAGGGGTTATGGGCTACTTGGTCACCAAGCAAAGGATCTAAGGGATTTCCCATTAACCCTAGCTTTGGCACCAAGTTTCCTAAACTATTTAAGGAGCATCCGTGTCCTTGATTTCGTCCCATGCTTCCCTCCACTATCCTTGGATGAAATTTCCATCCTCTCTCCTAAATCATTCTCTTGTTAGCGTGGGTATGATTCCATTAGAGGCACGACACTTGTGGTGCTTGCTTCCAAGAGATCAATAAAGAGGAATTCTAGTTGTTTACTACAACAACTAAAAGGTATGTATTCCTAAAATCCTTTAATCATGATTTCAAAAATACCCTAGGGTTTGCAGGTTTCTTTTTGACGTTCTTAGTTATTGGTTCAATAGAGAAAACATAGATCCTATTTAGGTTGCATGCAAACTTAAGGATTTTATTTTTGTTTGTTTACCTAAATCCCATCAGTTATGTAGTATACAACATGTCATTATGATATTATTTTTCATTCAATTGGATAATATGAACTGTCCTTCAATATTCCCCATCTTCCCTTCAAAATGCCAAAACATCGTTCAATAACATTTCTTGCTGCTGAATGTTTCAATAACATTTCTTGGTGATGAATGTTTCGTGAATATCCATATCCCTACTTCGTTTTAGTCCTCCAAATGTTCCAAGCATATGACATAACTGTTTAAGCGCGTTCGAGACATCCTAATTTGTGATATAGACATGGTGTCACTCTCATAAACTATTTTATGTAGTATTGTGTATCAATCTATATTTGAAAAAATCCGCTTAATACGTCGTTTATCTATATGGTTTTTGAACAATATTAACAGGAGGAGTACAAAAATGTTCAAAACCACATTCCACCATTTCAAAATCAATGAAGTTTGCCTTTGTCTATGATTATATGTTGTTAAACTAGGTTAGGACATTTTCCTATTCATACAAATTTATATCACATTGAGAGTGTAATGTAATTTCCAGCTAGTAACTATCACATTGAGAGTGTAATGTAATTTGCAGCAAGTAAATATAATTTTCAGTAATGTAAACAACACCATTCATTTTCACAAATGTTGATGTTAAAAATAGATGAACAAAAACATGAAGCATTTGTTGCTGTTACACGCTATTCTAATTGATTAACGAAGAACAATTTGATTTTCAGGAAGATAAACAACATGGTTTTCACAGAACCAACACAAAAACGATTTTGCATAATCATCGATCTTCATAGAAAACAACAAGATGCTCGATTTTAACATAAAATTGATAAATAACAAACTCGATTTTCACTGAAATCAATTTTCAGGAAGATAAACAACACAATTTCGACTTTCACATATTTGATTTTCACATATATGGATTTTCACAGCAAGAAACGAGGTTCAGTCAGTAGAAAACCATCGATTTTCACAATAATTTAAGAGGGGGAAAGAGAGCGCCAGAGAGCGAGATTGAGAGACATCGAGATTTAGATCGATAACTGTAGCGATACACATACCTGGCGAAGAGATGGAGAAGATGAGTTGAGTGTGATGTCGGCTGCAATTCGATTTTGATGAAGAGATGGAGAATATTAGTTGAGTGTGATGTCGGCTGCAATTCGATTTTGACGAATACATGAGATATGGTTTTGGTTTTTAAACGGTTTTGTTAAAATAAAAAGGGTATAATGGTAATTTTTCACTTTCCTTGATGATATAGAATTATTTCCATCATTTTGTTTGAAGGAAAGTATTTTCCTCCATATAAATGAACTAGGTATAAGACATGTATTACATGGGTTAATTTAAAAAAAAAAAAATATAAAGGTCTAAATGTTAAGAACTTTGGAATTATAAAAAAATAAGAAAAATAATGAATTATTAAAATTGATTTTTTTTATCTTTTAAATTTAAATAAATAAACAAAATAAACTAATGAACTTTAATTTGGGAAAATTAGAAGGCAAATTCATTAATGAAATTGATATTCATTTATTAATATATTTATTGTAATTATTACATTAAATTATTATGTTGAATTTATTAAAATAGAAAAACCCATAAAATGACATGTGGAATAAAAATTAATTCAAAAAAAATCATAAAATAACATTACACAAATTGAATGAGAGGTGACATGTGACAAAAAAAAACTTTCATTTATTAGAGTAGATGTTTTCTTATTATTATTTTTTTTTAAACGGCAAATCTAACTTACTCCTAAACTACACCTTAAATCCACATATGTCCACGACGGGACTTGAACCCTCAACCTCAAGGAGGGAGGGCAACACCAGATACCGCAGGGGGTTAGAAGTTTTTGTTAGATGTTTTCTTATTTAGGATTCATTTTTCCTCTTTAAAATCGAACCAAACTCCGAATTGAAGGGAATAGAAATCATTGTTCCTCTAATTTCAATCCTGTGCAGAGTTAGATTTTTCTTTTTTCTCAATGTTCTAATGGGCTTATAACTTCAAAAGCAGATTTAGTAAAGTTCGGTCCGGTACTCCGGTCCATATGATTAATTAGAGCCTGAAGATCAGCTTCGCTGTTCCGCCTTTGTACATACATCAACAATGGCGCCTGCCATTCTACATTTGGTACGTAATCCATACACGTTCTATTAAATACTTGTTTGTTTTTCATTTATCGAGTAAGCTCAAATCATCTCTGTAAATTGTGCTCTTCCAGAGCCTTGGGTGTAGCAGTACAACAAGGGCTTGTATTTCTGAGGTAAAAAACTAAAAACCCTCTGTCTTTGAATTCGTTATTACAGTTTGTTTTTTGTATTTTCTTACTAATTTTAGTTCAATTCTTCTGTGTTTTCGAATACAATGACAAGTTGAGTAGAAATTAGAATTTGGTCGCAGAATTTTTGTGCTGAAATCAGGAAAATCGGGTGTATTTTTGGTATTGAACCCTAAATATCACAATCATGTTGCTTTCCTTGTATAATCTTGCAGGAAAGAAACCAAGAGAAGGTGAAGCTCTTAGACAACATAAAATCCATCAAGGACAAAACGGTCATTTCCAATTCCCAAGAATCAAAACACCATAAACTTCCTCCACTAGTTAGCGCGCTAAAAGCTTCATCCGAGCAAAAAGTTGCAAGTTTTCACTTTCCTGGACATAACAGGGGTAGAGCAGCTCCTTCTTCATTGTCTAATCTCATTGGACTACAACCTTTCCTCCATGACTTACCTGAGCTTCCAGAACTTGACAACTTATTCACACCTGTGGGACCCATTTTAGATGCTCAAAAGCAAGCAGCTGAATTGTTCGGAGCTACAGAAACATGGTTCTTAGTTGGGGGAACAACATGTGGAATCCAAGCATCAGTTATGGCTACTTGTTCACCAGGAGATACACTAATTCTTCCAAGAAACTCTCATATCTCAGCTTTTTCTTCCATGGTGTTATCTGGTGTTATACCAAAGTACATTACCCCTGAGTATGATTCTGATTGGGACATTGCTTCTGGTGTTACTCCTTCACAGGTATGTTTAGACCTAATTTTTTCATAAACTGGACTCGACTACACAAGCTTTTTAGAAAACTCAAAAATTCTACATATTTTTACTTATGACCAAATTGCCCTTTTCAGGTGGAGAAGGCAATGAAAGAATTGGAAACAAAAGGTCAAAAACCATCTGCAGTTCTCATAACCTCCCCTACATACCACGGAATCTGCACCAATCTCCAACAAATCTCCTCATTATGTCATTCCCAAAATACCCCTCTCATAGTGGACGAAGCTCATGGGGCCCACTTCGCCTTTCACAACTCCTTCCCTCTCTCAGCTCTCCAGCAAGGCGCCGATCTCGCCATTCAATCAACCCACAAAGTGCTATCATCTCTCACACAATCATCAATGTTACACGTGTCAGGAAATATTATAAATCGAGAAAAAATATGTCAATGTCTACAAACCCTTCAAACCACTAGTCCAAGTTATCTCCTTTTAGCTTCTTTAGATGCCTCCAGGGCTCAAATTAGCGAAAACCCTAAAATTTTCGATAAAGCTGTTGAAATAGCCACCGAAGCAAAGTCCCTCATTAAAAAAATCCCCGGAATCGGAATCCTCGATTCCGGTGTCAACATCGGAATCGATCCTTTACGGATTACAGTCGGAGTTTGGGAGCTTGGGATATCGGGATTTGAAGCTGACGATATTTTGTATGAAAATTATGGTGTGGTTTCGGAACTTGTTGGGACCCGTTCGATTACGTTTGCGATAAATCTTGGAACGAGGAGAGACGATGTTGTTAGGCTTGTGTCGGGGTTAAAGTATTTGTCGGAATCACGGATTCCGATTCCGATTCCAATTCCGATTCCGAATGATGTACGGGTTTTTATGGGGATGTGTAGTGAGATGAGATTGAGCCCTCGAGAGGCGTTTTTTGCAAGTAAAAAGAAAGTGAGTTTTAGAGAAAGTGTTGGTGAAATATGTGGGGAATTGGTGTGTCCGTATCCGCCCGGAATTCCATTGCTGATTCCGGGGGAAGTGATTACGGAGGTGGTGTTGAGGTATTTGATGGAGGTGAAAAGTAATGGTGGATTTATTAGTGGAGCTGCTGATTCCAGTCTCTCCACCATTGTTGTTTGCAGTTGATTCTGTGAATAGCAATGTACTTTATTTAATTTAGTGTTGTATAGATAAAATATTAAATGGATAAAGGATGTATCTTTGGAAAATAAACATTGATTCTTTTTTTAGTGAATGGATGTTTAGAAGTGATACCGAATAAAAATTTAACAATTTATTTAAGAATTGTTATAAATTAAAATTGTGAATGACCAATGATTAATAAATAAACAAATAACTTTCAAAATCTTAAAAAATGACCTTGTTTCATTAACTTTAACATCATCTTCTTCATGCTCTTCATTTTTCTGTAATTTCTTCAAAGCTTTAAACTTGGCTCAAGATCCATTTTTTTTAAATCTGTGTACAATTTTCAATGTGTAAATTATTAACAAGAATGTGATACCATAATATGAGCATCATCTAATCAAATATTGTTGTTCAGATGAGATGAAACAGTGCTAAAAGCAAATGCCTCCATGAAGATTTAAGAATAGAGCCATGTAGGTTGTGTGGGCCCAAATTCATTTTTATTACAAGTATTAAATTAAATCTTAAAAACCTTATACAGCAAACAAAATCCACAATGAAATTTCTGCCATTATGACTCTTTTTGGAAGGAAAAAAAAATCAGGAACTTGATCCGTAGAAAATTGCAAATATAGGGACCATTTTTGCGATTTATACTAAATTTGAAGTATCCGAAGGATCCAACATTCAGTTTCCATTTTCCAATGATGGGAATTTGTCTTGAAATGCATGTTGCTTTCGTATTTCAATGGAATTTATAATCAGAATAGAGTTTCGGTAAGTGGTTTTTATGTAATTACCCATTTCTTTTTCAATTCCACCTATTGATTTGATTTTTTGTCTTTTGTTGTTTTTTTTTTCTTATTTTGTTTTTTTTGTTTTTAATTCTTTTTTAATTATTATTATTATTATAAATTTCGTACAAAATTTTATCATTCGGACAACATTATAAATTCAAACGGTTATATAAAATCGGTTTTTAAATATTTTTTTTGTATTTTTTAATTACGGACAAAAAAGTCGTTCGAATTTTATAATGTCGCGCGAATTTATAATGTTTACCGAATTTTAAAATGTCATCCGAAATTTAAAATGTTGTCCGAATTTTTCTGATTATTGAAATTTATAATACTAATAATAATAATAATAATATAAAATAAAAGGAAAAAAAAATAAATAAAAATAAATAAAAAATAATGTCAAATCAAAAATAAAAAATTGATTTGATTGATGTTATGGGGGTAAAATTGGTTAAGGAGATATTTATAGCACAATCCTTCGGGAATTGTTTTCTAATCTCGTGGCAAACACTTTCGCACGAAACCGTTGAGCTTGTAAATTTTTTATCCTAATTACGTTTTATTTTTTTAGTTTACCATAATTTTAATATAATTAGGTAATTAAACTCATAATTTACCAATGATTGCAAAAAGTAAATATATTTAACACTACTTTAGTTACGTGTAATATATAATTAACGCAACTTAGGGTGTGACGCTTGACTTACGCACCAGAGTCTTTTTACTTATGTTTATTTTTCTTTAACTCTTGTATATAGAAATTGAGATTTAATTTTTTACTGTAAATTTATATGTCGTTTCCTGAAATAGCAATTCTGTGACCACTTTAATTATATTTTTGTAATTATGGTAATGTATACAGTTAACAGAGAAAATGACGTATAAGGGTAACCACTTGTTCATCTTGTTCGTATTTTGTAATTTTCGTTTTTTGTTCGTATTTTGTAATTTTCACTTTTTTTTATACTTCATGTACCATTTAACTTGTTGTAGGTGCTCACAAAAATCATGAAGGTTTCTGGCGACTTTCTCATCTTTGGCGACTCTCCGGTAGTTTTATCCAGCGAGCCTCCGGCCAACGTGAGTTTTCCGGCGACCCACCACCATGAACCATCACCATCTTAACCAACTTGAGCTGAACACCACCTTTTACACCTTCACCTTCTCAGGATATTTTTCTTCATCTTAACCACATGAATTTCCGGCGAAATCTGGAACACGTGAACTCAAAACAAATCAGATTTTTTCAGGTTTCGATTTGAAACATGACTAGGGTTTCGATTTTGAAGAACAGTAATAATGAAGCCCGATTTTTTCAGGTTTCGATATGGACTGTGTTCTTTGTGTGTTTTCTTAAGATATGAAAACAATATCTGGAAAATGCTCTTCATTTTTCGATTTCGATCTTGGATTTGAAGCTCGATTTTGGATCTTGGATTTTGAAACTCGATTTTGGATATGGAATCTGTTCTTCAGATCTGGAAAATATGGAAAATGTGGCATATGGGAAGATGGCAGCGGGTTGTGATGATGCTCCACTGTAACAGGTGGTGGTGATGGAGGAGTGCTTCACGGTGGAGCTTGCAGATTCATGGTTTTGAAATCGTCGGAAAACTCATGTTGGCCCGAGGCTCACCGGAGAAGACGACCGGAGAGTCGCCGGAGCTGAGAAAGCCGCCAGAAACCTTCAATAGCAGGTTGTTTTTGTGAACACCTACAACAAGTTAAATGGTATTAAAAAAAAAATACCAAATGCGAACAAAATGAACATTTGTTTACCCTCATAAGTCATTTACCCAGGGTTAATTTATACAAGTAATGCTACTTAGGGTAAGGGTGCATGTCTTACGCCCAATGTAGTCTTTATACTTATGTTTAATTTTCTTTAACTCGTGTACACAAAAAATGAGATTCAATATTTTACAGCAAATTTATAAATCGTTTAATAAAACAGCAATCCATAAACTACTTCAATTACAAAAATGTAATTAACACAATTTATATAATTAGCTCAATGCATACAATAACGTTGGTTAAGGTAAGGCTTCTATCTTACACCCGAGATAGACTTTATATTATGTTTATTTTTCTCAACTCTTTCACATAAGAAATGAGATTCAATATTTTACTACAATTTATAAGTTGTTTCTTAAAATAGCAATCCATAAAAAATAAATAACTAATACCAAAAAAGGTGATAACTAAAATGATTTAGCAAATAACTTATTAAATTTGATATGAATCATATAGATCAAATATTAAGTTGAGGAGTTCTTACAGGTCTTGCGTATGTGGGACCAATACGTGTCGTTACTACTATATATGTTTAAAAATAGGAATAAGCATGCATATATGCCCAGGGTAGAATCGTAAAAACTATACAAGTTTAAGGTTTTCTAGCAAGTTTGACTTTAAAGGAGCGGAGAAACCGGTGAAAATGATAAAAGGAAAATAGTAAAATTAAGAAGTTGCATGATAATTATTGAATAAACCCTAAAAAAAATTAAAAAAATAGGTAAAACCATTAAAACTCAAAAAACTTAGGGTTTTCTTATGAACATCCATCCAAAAAATCTCATTCCATCTTGTAAGAATATTATTAGTAAGTTTTAAGTTTTTGAAAGATCGACATTGAATTCCCAAAGCTAGGAATGTCTCAAAATATTTGTTGCTCCCGGAATTCAATAGAGCGATATGAAAATTTAATTCAAATCGAGTTTAAGAATATATTTCCTAATTGGAATATTAGTAGATAAACACTTTCCATTTTCCATTAGATCGGTATTGATGTGGTTCATGCAAAATACAACATGAATATTGTGTTGAAAAACAAGTCCAATTTTACTCTTTTTCATTTTTATTATACAAATCCGCATTTCAAGTGAATATGTATGTCTTATAGAGGCACTATTTAAATGTGAAGTTTCCAACTTTTTATATCATACTAAATGATAGTAACCATAACAACAACAATAAAACTTCTAAACCGAAACGACCTAACCAACCTATAATGCTATAAGTCCAGATTGCCAGCTCATTTTAGTCCTACCACCATATCAAAAGTCTGGTCCAAAGGACCAGATGTAGTACCTAATCAAGATCGGGTCTAAACCTCAGACCCAGTCTTTTACACATCTTTACAACAAGACATCAACAAACAAACTGTAGGGCCTCATCCTGAGGCCCTATGTGAATAAAAAAAAAAGTCTAATAAGACATATCAACAAAAGACCATAATGCAAAATACCATTTTTTTTAAAACCCCCTTTCTATAAACAATCAAAATCATACTTTCTCTTCTTAGCTTCCGGCATACCATTTCGGTTCTCCGCGGGACCCGCCCACGCTAACGGTTCTGCTACAAAAAACACGTAAAATCCAAATTTACATTTTTCTTTACACGTAGTAATAATTACTTTAATTTAGTTTTTTTTTTTTCATAATAGAACTTACCTATTTGCAAATTCAAGTTGTCTACCGGGCCCGCCCATGCTATCGGTTGAACTGCAAGATGTAAAAAATCACTTTAGTCGATAATAGCAACATACTTACATATACTTTAATGATAATAACAATTTACCTTATTTTTTAATTTTTACTCATATGTTGACGTGTGTATATATATATATATATATATATATATATATATATATATATATATATATATATATATATATATGTTTTAACCTATAACTACAATGTACTTGCATTTCACTACAAATATGAACAATGTAACTTATTTGTTGGATATTGTTATAAGTGATAAAGAAATATAATTTCGTTGTTATATTTTGTAAAAAAAAAAATGTAAGTTGCTATTATAGGTAAAAAATTAAAATACATTGCTTATAATGGTAAAGATTGGTTAAGAGAAAAAAGTACATTGCTAATTTTTGCAAATTATATATTTGTTTCCTATAAGAATTAACAAAAGATATTTTTAAATTTGAACCCTAAAATACCTCGTTCTGGATTCTGAGAAGGACGTTTTTTCACATAATCATCGCGTAAAGGTTTTGGGATTTGAAATGAAAATCGGTTTATTGCAACTCCTTCTGCATGTTCTGGATGGCTAGCCAAATATCTGCTTAATAAATATATTTAGGAACCATTTTATTTTGTAATATAAATATATAATACCAAAAGGACAAAATACAGAAAAACATTTGTAATTTACTAATTGAGTAATTTCACCATTTTATTGATTTAATGACTAACTATTTTCTATAAAGATTAAACCATTATGCTATTTTCACCGTTTGGAAAAAAACTGTTTTCCCGGTTTTGATGATGTCAATTTACAGAAAAACACAATGGAATTTCATGTTTTAGTCACTAAAATATTGTTTTTTTTTTGTATAATTAGCATAATAATAGTTCAAAATATGAGTTCAGTGACTAAATCGATAAAATGATGAAAATACAACATGCTTTTCTATACTTTGCCTATATAAAACCATAAAATGTTAAAAACGTTTTCTTTAAATGGTCAAATTAAGTAGAGCAAATTACATTTTTAGTCCGTGTGATTAGTTGATTTTTTTGGTTTTGGTCCAGAAAGGAATCTTTTTTACATTTTTGGTCCCTCTCATTGACACTGTCACTTTGTAAGTTAACCATTCACGAAAAGTGACCAAAAACATTATGGAGAATGAAATAGGGACCAAAAATGGAAAAAAAAAAAAAAAAAAAAAAAAAGATTTCTCTCTGAACTAAAACCAAAAACACCAACTAAAATGTACTTTACTAAAAAAAAATGTATAATATATATAATTACAGAAAATAGTTAAGATACCAAATCAACAAAATCATCAAATTAAAAATTAAAGAGTGAAGAACATACTTTTCAACTTCAGGTGTCGAGCGAAGTTTAGTACCCGTTGGTGAAGCATAATATCTAAAAACAATAAAAACATACAAAACCAACATCAAATAAATCAACATCCATCATAAAAAAGTGCATAAAAACAAGGGTTAATCTCATAAAAAACCTTATATTTTGTGTTTTTTCCGGATTAAACCTCATCTTTATTTTTATTTTTTTCACGAAAAAGAAAAAACCCTCAACTTTGCCTTTTTTTTTCCAAAAAAGAACCCTCAACTTTCAAACCGTTTCCGAAAAAATCCTCAACTTCTTTATTTTTCCGAAAAATGACTAAAAGGGCCAGATCGGAAAAAATGAAGAAAATGCAAGGTCTTTTTCATGAAAAAAATAAAGTTGAGGTTTATTCCGGAAAAAACACAAAATATAAGGTCTTTTACGAGATTAAAATCCTAGAAACAACACAAAAATATAAAATTTGGGAAAAAGATTCTTACACGTCAGCAAATTTCGAGCTCCCTTCGCTTCTAAGCCTCAAAAGCCTCTTCCACCCTGGAGGAGGCTTTGCGATATTGGGCTTATCAATAGCCCAAATTCGTGAGCCATCCTGCTCGATGTCAGTGGGATCGTCACATGAAATGTGACGATCCCACTGACGTGTGGTAGCACACAGAAACGGGTGATCCGTGATATGTTCACGGATCACCTCGTATTTCTCTTGATCAGGGATCAATCTCCATTTAAAGCAATTAGCACATTGGACAGTGAAAGCACCGACTTCCGGCACTACTCTTTTGGGATCTAAATGTTTTTTAGGAAAAGATCGGGGCTTGTTTTGGATGGATGTGATTGCATTTGAATGATTTGAAGAAGGGTTGTAAATAACCATTTGTTTTTGGGAGTCGGGATATGGTGGAGGGGCATTTTCGTCATCTTCGGTGGAATATTCGGAGGAAGAAGAAACGTTTGGGATGTGATCCGTTCCTTTGCTATCGTTGTTGGATGGGATGGTTGGGCCTTCAAGGGCGTTTTGGTCATTTTCTATTGTCTTTTGGCGGTTTTGATTGGTGCATGGCGTGATCTCATGCACTTTTCCGCCCATTTTTATGGTGAATTTTGTGGGTCGGGATTGCATTGGTGCAAATCGGAGAGTTCCCTAATGGAAAAAGAAAAGAAAATGAGGAAACAAAAAAAAAGATTAATGAAAGTAAGAGGATATTGATATAATTTGATAGATTTTTCATAGTACAATGTTGTAATAGGAAGAAATGAAAGTGGAATGCTTATAATAAACAAATAAAAGAAAGTATGTCGCTTTTTCTTGCATTTAATCCTTTCTTATAGGGCAACTTATAAGTTGTAACCGAAGAGTTTGTGACTTTATGCAAACTTCAAATAATGAAAACTCGACTCATTTTAGTATATAATTTATAATCCATGATCAAATTATCGGTAGTTAATGTTTTGATTGCATATTACTCCTTCCGTCTCACACTAAGTAGCCTCTTTCCCTTTTTATGCGTAGCCTAAAAAAACGTATTTTTATCGTTAATTTTGATATATCCTAATTTGGTAATATCCCACATGTCAACTTACAAAAACAGAAGAAAATGAGGAAAGGAAAAAAATAGATGCTTTTTGTGGAGTTATAATAATTGAAGATGCAACCCTAATCATAGGGTTAGTCATAGGGCTAAATGCAAGAAATAGTAACATCATCTGACTTACATTTCTTTCTTTTTTTTTACAACTCCCATATTTTTCTTATTAAGACATGATACTTTGTAAAATCTACTAAATTATAGTTGTTTATATTGTAGAGTCTTATATTAAAGAAAAAAAATTCTTTCGATAAAATCACAATCTTTACAAAATACAAGCAATCTTTTTAACTTAAAGGAGACAAAACTTAATCCACGACCTAAAAAGGCGTGATTGAAATGCATGAATGGAAGTTTTAGTACAACTTGAAAATAAAGAACTCTTACCTCTTAAAGCTCGAATTTTCTAAAAAATTAACTTTGATAGGTAAATGTTACTACTCGAGCTCCATGATTTCTTACTCCAAATTCTGCAATAAATTAATAATTAGTATCTAAAATACAAATTTAAATTATAATGAATAGAAGTGTATGCATTTACCTCTTTTATGTAGTTGCGAAACACATAAAACACATCACATGTTCGAGTTGGAAATTACTGAAAAGAATAATAATTCAAGAAGTTAAAATCATACATATAAGTTTAGATTAGCCCAAAACTCTATCTACAAATACATATGCATTGATTATAATATATTCTGGTTAAAATGATTAAATTTATGCAAACCGTTTGAACTCTGATTATAGTTAAATAATCTTTGTGCTTTATTACATGATTAGAAAATATGAAGCAACCACAAACATGTTTGTTATATGAATTAGAAACTCGTATAAAATAAAATTAACTTCACCTTGAACACAGTAGATTACAATGTGGTTAATAAAATATGTAAAAAAATGATCTTTTTGCATATGCTTGCGAAAAAGATATAATACATGTATTAACTAACTGATATCAAACTCATAATCAAAAAATTTAGAAAGAAAATCTTGAAAAGTATATAAATTAAGCTTCTGGATAGAAAGCTCATGTATATAGATTCATGTAAGATCTATATCAAAGTATCAAGAAAGAAGACCAAAATCCTACCTTATAAACAATACCAAAATAGATTTTAAAAAAAAAAATCAATCAGCTACAAATCAGACAACTTTTTAGGCGATTAAGCCAAGAAACAGGTTTATGCATCTCTATGCACCTGAATCTGTTCTTATAACACATAAATTCCAAATTTATAATGAAACCAGAAGCTGTCATTCAAAACAAATTTATGGAGAAATGAAGCTTGTACATAAAGACTCGTGTTGGATCCCGATCAATGTGTTAAAACTAATAAAACCCACTAGCAAAAACATCAAATCCCAATTAGAAACACAATCAAACACACAAAAAAGAGATTAAAAACGAAGCGATTAACATTCTTTTCAGATACCCATGTGAAGATGGTGCAATTGAACAAATGTTTGCTTTATTCCTCTTACAACAAAACAGATTTGAGAGTTACGTGATAAAATTGATGAGAGCGAACACAAAAGAGAAAGGAAAATCGAAAGAAATCCCAAACAGGATGCTCATACACGACAAATAATGCTAGATCGGTATCAAAGTGTCGAGAACTCTACAATTCACTTGCAGAAATCAGTAAACCCTACAAATTACTAAACGAAGATAGAACGACTCGATCAAAAGTTGTAATTGGGCAGCTTAAAACCCCAAAATTGGATGAAAATAATGAATTTTAATAAGCAAAGATATGAAATTGTCAACTAGATTTGAGAAAACAAAGGACTTCAGCAATTGAAGTACATGATTAGATGAAGATGCTTACTTTTTTCAGATAGATTACTTACTAAAGAGTAAAACAGGAGATCTGAACTGAAGATTGAAATTGGGCCGATTATCACAAGACAAATGATTTATGTAGTCTTGATGTGATTTTATGAGTTGAGGTTGGGATTGGAAGGAAGGGTAAGAACAGATATCTGATCTATAAATGCACTTCAACAAACATTTCAAGAAATTTACAGATTACATGAATTGGGTTCAGGAAATCTACATGGATATGAAGAAATAGACACAACTTGACAAAAGTATCATTAATTACCGAAAGATTTTAAACTAATTTTTACATTAAAAAAAAATAAAAAAAATAAACAAACAAATTAAAAACTAGAGGTGAGAAAAAACCGAATCATAACCAAATTAACCGATATAACCAAACCATTTTAATTGAACCATTAAAGATATGGTTCAATTTTTAATTTTGATTAATCGAATATATGGTTCGGTTATGGTTTTTATAAAAAACTGAATCATTATAAACTATTAGAATAATATAATATTAATATATGATATGTAATTATATTGGGAATTAAAAATTTTAAGGGTAATTATCAGTTGCGAATCTAGAACCGAAAACCACGTGGTTCCCAATTTAAGTTACACCGAAAAAAATAAAATAGTAAAAAAAAAAATACTAATGGTTGGCCGAGTCGTATAAAAAAAATAAACATAACTTCAATAATTATATTAAATTTATTATAATTATATATGACGGTGTCTTATATCTTGAAATATATTCATTATATCATTATCGATACTTTCAAAAACATATTTTTTCAATAATTATTGAACTAACCATGTTAATTGTAACTAACAAAAATATTGATATCAAAATACTCACTAACCGCAACTAGCAAACATAACATTAATTTTATATCTAGACCATTTTTCGATAGCAATATAACAATTTAATATGCTTATGTTTAATACTTATAATGCATAAACAAATTCATAGGATAAGTAATTAAGTAATATATTGTTTTGTAATTATCTTCACTTGTGATGGATGAGTTGGGACATCGATTCTAAAGGCTAAATAATGAAAATATCAATTTAGAATTCTAGAACTAACGTATGTTTTATTACCAATCGAATATTTTTAAATCTCAACTAATTGTATAAACTTGGAAATAGAGAAATATCACAAAGTTATGAGTTGTGCGTGGAAGCCGGAGATATGTCCTTTAAAATTTATAAGATAATTCCTAATTTTTTTGTAGATATAATTTATAATATAAGTTGCAAATAAGGTGGGTTCTAGGACCCACCTTTAACACTATACCTTTAACACTATGTACATACACCCCTAGAAATTTATTTGAAGTTAGATAGAATAAGTAATATTTTATTAATACAATTATATTTACACAATCATTTATTTTTTATAACGATAGACTTTGTGTTTTTAAATGTTTATAGAAAAATATTTTTATTTTTATATCATCTTGGATCATTTTGGTTAACAGATATTAACCATAAACAATAACCATTAACCACCTAAAATCATTAACCAAAACCAATATTAACTGATATCCAATTGTTATCGAAATACATTAACCAATTGTAATGGTTATGGTTCGGTTTTGACTAATAATCGAACCAAACCGTCTCATACACACCCCTACTAAAAACTAAAATCTAAATAAATCTTAACCAGATTCTCTGAAAATGTTTTAAGAAATAAAAATCTTCAAAAAAAAATCTTTAAAATTTAGTTTTATTAAATAAAAAATTATGATTTTATTTTTTTAAGATAAAAAATACATAGGAATCTATACATATTTGATATTTTAGCCGGTAAAAAATTCTCATCCTGTAGAAGCTTTTTAATGTTTTTCGGCGATTTTTTCAAAAATAAAATGACTTGTATTGGCGTTTTTGAAAATAAAATGACTTTAGAGTAATCTTTTCGAAAACAAAATACATTGTTTTTAAAAATATAATGAATATAAAAAGAACTTTTTCCTTTACAATATTATTAGAAAAACACCACAAAAATTATATAAAACAAATGGTCTTTATATGATTCGATAAACACAAAAACATTTTTTTATATATACATACTATGCATATGTATATACTTATATTCTAAAATCTAATTTGTAAATATCTTTTATTTTGTTCAATATTTTTTCATTCCAACTACTAATTTGTAGATTGGATCATTTACTTAAACACAAACTTTAATGGTCATACAAAACAAGATGTACTAGAATGAGTAATTGTTGCACCATCAAGATTATTTGAATAGTATTAGATTTTAATAAAATCAAAATAATCAACAGGAATTTTGCAAATATATAATATAATAAACTAGATAAAAACTACACAACAAAAACGAAAATTCGAAAAAACAACCTCAACCCCAATTATCAAACCATAAGAACAACATGGACAATAAAGGTGCAAAAATATTACACTAAGAATACAATAATATCTTTGAATTAATAGAATAACATTAAAATAAAATTGATATGATAAAACTCTAAATCATATAAGATTACAATAAAACACAATAAAATGATATTATCTCTGTTCCAGATTATCTTGATTAGAAATAAAAAAATAAATAATATTTTTTTTCTTAGGTAGTGAAAATAAAATGAGACTACAATAGAATAATATAATAATATTAAACAAAAATAAAATAATTAATATATATATATATATATATATATATATATATATATATATATATATAATTTTGAATGACCTTAGAAATAGTAGAATTTTTATGGTTCAAGACTTTTATCATATTTCTTTGCCTGTTTTAACAGTTTGAGTCCCTAAAATAATAAATATTTATTTTTTGCCTTTTTGTCCTAACATTTATCAACTTCGGCTGACTCAACCAACTTTTCTATTTTTTTTTAACCTCAATTTGTTTAGTAATCCACTTTTATCAACTTTTATTCTCACATGTAGTAAGATTTTGTTATTTCGACAACCCTACAAACAGAAAGTGTAAAAATTAACAACCAACATCATACATAGGTAGAAGAAAAAATTACAAAACAACCAATAATTTGCAAAAAAAAAATGTTACAGTAACACGCTAAAATGTTTCAAACCTGCAACATAGTATGGAGGTTTTTACTAATTACAATAAAATAATAAAATAAAATATAAATATAAATATAAATATAAATATAAAATAGTTAGCCTTAGAAATACCTTTAAATTTTGATCATGACTTTTATTAATTCTTTGTCTTTTGTTTGCAAAAGAATGAAGAATTAAAACCACTAAAATCAGTTGACGGGTGAGCATATTAACCAAAAAATCGAACCAAAACCAAATTAACCAAAATAACCGAACCATTTTAACCAAACCATTATTAAAAAGGATGGTGTGGTTTCTATTTTTGATTAACCAAATACATATGGTTCGGTTATGGTTTTCATCCAAAACCGAACCACTAAAAACCGAATCGAACCAATAATATTAATAAATGTTTTTAATATAATATAATATTAAATATATGGTATGTAATTATATTTGGAATTGAAAATTTAAAGAGTAATTATTTGAAGTTAAATAGGATATCTAATCTTCTATCATATTAATAAGGTTATAAGAACCGAATCGTTTATTTTTTATAACAATGTACTTTATATTTTTCAGTTTTTATAGCAAAGTATTTTTTTATCTCAATTTTGACCATTATGATTAACCAATATTAACCATTAACCATAACCATTAACCGATAAAAACCATTAACCAAAACCAATATTAACCAATACCTAATGGCTATAAAAATGCATTAACCACTTATAATGATTATGGTTCGGTTTTAGTTGAAAATCGAATCAAACCGCCCCATACACACCCCTATGACCTGCTGCTATTTCAGGTCAAAATCTTAATTCTACAAAAATTTCAACAAATTATGATATTTACTAGGGAAATCTATAGAAAAGTTCCAAACTTTTTGGAAAAGTTTCAATAAAGTCCTAAAAAAAATTAAACAGAAAAGTCTCGATTATTTAACATTTTGCCCAAATTAACGAAAAAGTCATTTTTTATATTTGAACATCAAAGACATATTATATGATCTTCTCAAAATAATAGGATTTTTCTGTTAAAAAAAGGACTTTTTTAAAATTTATCCAAAAGTTTGGGGCTTTTCTGTAGATTTCCCTATTTACTATCAAAAAAATAAACATAGCTTTTTCGTAAATAAAATCAAAGTTTAAGGACTTTTTGATAGTTTTCTTTAGAGAAATTGTAGCACCCGTTCCGAGAAGGTTTATTTCTAAACTTAAATTTGTTTAAGTTGCGTTTCTGGTCCGTACGTCGTGCGTACTCGGTGTGTACACATGACGTACTCATGCATGAGAAAAACGGGACTCACACGCGTACATCGGGCGTACTCAGCAGGTACACCGCACGTACGTTGTTCAGCCAAAACCCTAGTTTTGAGGGTTTTCACCCTATATAATCCCATTTATAGCCCCAAGACCTTCACCATCATTAGCCTCCACCTAAAAATTGTCTCTCTAGCTAACGTTAAGTGTGAAGAGTACACCTTGAGTTCATATGTGTGTTTTGGTGGTGTTCTTGAAGAAGAAGAAGAAGAAGGACATTGGAGCTTGGAAGAAGTTTGGATTTGGGATTCTCACCTTGCTCGTAACCTTCAGGAGGTAAAAAGCTCCAACCTTGATCATATTTTCTTATAGATCTAGATATTCCTTTATTTAGCGCATTTTTGGTCCCAACCTTTGTGATTCTTGAGCATGGCATGCTCTTAACCAAATAAGTCGTCCTTTCAGACCCAATGAGGGGTCTTTAGTCATAAAAATGAGATCTTGATGCTTAGTTCTTCCCTATGCATGCTCTAGAAGGTATTTTGGTGTTAAGAAGTTAAGATTGTTGTTACTAAGCACTTAATGGGCATGCAAAGTCATAAAGTTGGAAACTTTATGACTCTCAATGGTATTAAGCACTTAAGATTGTTGTTATTAAGCACTCATAAAGTTTGTAACATACATGTTTTGAAATCATGTTATGTAATTTGAAAAGTTAATTATATTATGAAATATTATGTGAAATTGAGTGTTGAGTTCTAACAGATAGTTTTTACTAGAAATGAAGTAA